TGCGACGCGCTGATGAGATCCAAAAAGATCGAAATCGCGATCCGCGTCTGGCAGTTTCGACAGAATACAGACCACTTCGAATTATTTTATTTTATTAGACAAACTAACACTTTCATTTGTAATATTAGTTAGGGTGCTTGGTATGTATGATGTTAATTTAGAAGTGTACCTATCTATACTAATAAAAGCCACTCATATGATTTCAAAAATTCTTTCAATAATTTTTAGAATAGATCAGCGTAAGCTATATATTTCGTTAAAACAAAAAAGCTTTACGTAGGGATCAATTTTGTAACGTAAGTCGACGAAAAAGTTTCTATAGAAAAGTTGTAGAGCTCAAATAGGCAGGTCCGGGTCGACATATAGATATGACTCTCAGTATAGTCACAAACTGACTTGTAAGTGCAGCACAAGTATCAAAAACTATAAAAAAATAATGGAAAATTTCAAACTTATGTATGTATCAGTAGCCTAGGATTATAAATCAATAAACAGTCAAGTAAGTACTTTTTGTTTCTGAAAGAAAAACATTGCCAATTTTCATCTCGAACTTTAACACTCGATTGTTTAAAACAGCTTTTTATTTGCTTTTTATAACCCTTTATTTTCACGTAACGTACTTACTGATTTGAAATGATTACATTAGATTTTTATGATTTCTAATCACAATTAAACGGTCATAAAAACATTTTATATAACGCAAAAATCCAAAATAAAAAAACATATTGAAATGTAGCCGTTGCGAAACTAACGTTAAAGCAAATGTAGAAATTGGAGTAGAAGAACTAGAAGAAGTTGCCCATTTTAGAGGTCATAGATGATAGTAAAACATATGGAAGTCAATTGATGGTAGATCATCTTCTGAGGGTTAAATAGAAGTATATTTTAATTAACAACCTTTCCTTTTTATCTTCTTTTTATGACAATACTGATTTCTATTTCTACATATTATATTTCCGAATTAAAAGGCACCTAATTAAGAAAGTGTCTAATTGATATTGGATAAGTTTTATTGAAATAAAAGTAAGTAAAACTGAAATATACAAATGTCAATGAAGGAATTTTGAACATGCTATAGGGAAATTATTGTAGACAGTATAATTATTTAATTAAAAATTTTGTAATGCTTAAGGACTTCATCGAGTACCTACTTACGATTTTCGAGACATCTATCTCAACAACTTTAAAAATATGCATAAGTAAAATTATTATTTATTTAACCTTTTTTCTTATCCTCTTATTCTTTCAGAATAGTGAATGATTCTAATTACTAGGAATATTCTAGAAACACGCTTTCAAAAATAAGATTTAAGTAGAGACTATTATAAAAAGTCGAATATTAATAAATACAAAAAGTATTCGTTTATTGAAGTTATTTAAATTATTATTTAGCAATTATGCACTCTTAAAATACATGACTATTTAAGTGTACATAATTATAGTTTTGCTAAATACCTACCTACACAAAACAAAAATTAAAAAAAGGTTGCGTATTGTTAATAACTAATGCCCATAGATACTTATTGAGAATTAACATTTTAATTATTTTCATGTATAAATATTTAATTTTCTTAATTTTGGTGAATACGACATCCAAATCGGTTAAGAAATAACTAAAAAATCCCTTTCTAATGTTATTTCCTTCTTTAATATGTAGCGCTCACCATTGTTTAGATTTCCGCATTGCTTTAAGTGCAGGTGCACTGAGTTTGACCTACTTTTTAGGCGATCGAAACAATGGCCGCCGGTGTAACAGCCAATCAGACGCACGAGCTTGCTTTTAACTATTAAACGTGCATACCTGTGTTAGTAACCCGCGATGCTTTTGAAGGATGTACTTCGCTGGGTCAAATTTTAGGTTACAATTACGTAAAAAATTGTAATTATTACTTTTTTCTTTAAAATTACATGTTTGATTAGTAATAAATGTTTTTAGGCCCAAGATCAGCTCATGTTATGATTGAAATTTGTTAATGTTAAGATTATCTTACCTTTAGCTTAAGCTTTCGTTGAATGATCCTGTGGCCGGGCATCTGCCAATGTCCAGATCTATAACAAAGTAAAAAAATGTAGTCACTATTATCATTTTTATTGAAACATAACTAGAACCACATTCTACATATGTAAATAATTAATTAGCATATTAAATTATTCCAAAAACTTCGCAAAACATTATGAATTGTCATTTTTATGACAAGTAAATCATCTTCAGTATAATTTAAATAAAACACATATTAATGTAGCCACACGTCAGGTCACAAAAAAATTCTACAGAAATCCAAATTCTAATTAATTTTTGTCGAGCTGTGGTTCTCATAATTTGCCAACATAACTTACCCACTGCCTAATCCAAGATTCGTACTTGTCTTAACTAAAAGAATAATTTTAACATAAAACAGACTATTATTATACTTAGCGTCTTTTATGTTTTGTCAAATATTTTATGATACCAAGAATTATTTACTATTTACAACTAAATAGCCATTTTTCATCGGATTTCTTGTGAGTTAGAATATTTTTTGCTTGCCGTCACATTTTTTTGCTAATATGAATGTGCGTATCTCGTGTTGATACTCCTTATTTAGTATTGTTTTTGATTCTCGACATACATATCTACGCTTACAAAATACGAAAGGATATTTCTTGAAGGTGAATTCTTTTCTTCTGAAAAACATGACTTAAAAGGATGCCAACTAATCCCATAATGAAGTACTTACAGCACATCAAGAGCTGTTAAATATTAAGTATATACAAGAAGGTTGTAGGTACTTCAACGAGGATGTAATAAACCAACAAAACTCTAGGGATCAAGCAATTTATTCCACCATAACATAATCTAAAAAGAAACAACAGGATACAATATTTAGAAAAAGAAGAATCCCATACATCTTGACAGAACAGCTCCTAATAAAGTTTACAACATCCTCATGAAACCTAAAAACCATTGGGACCATTGGACCATTGGGAAAGGAAAAATCCTACAGATCATGGCGGAGAAAAGTTTGCAATAAATCCTTACCGAGTTTAAAACCCACAGACTTTCAAAATAAAACTTTTGAGAGAAGGATTGAACATTTAGAAGACAAGAATCCCATACATCTTGACAGAACAGCTCCCAATAAAGTTTACAACATCCTCATGAAGCCTAAGAACTGCAGATATCCAAAACCTATTCAAGAGGACCAATGGAAAAGGAAAAATCCTACAGATCATGGTGGAGAAAAGTTTGCAATAAATCCTTACCGAGTCTAAAACCCACAGACTTTCAAAATAAAACTTTTTAAGAAGGATTTAACATTTAGAAGACAATAATTCCATAAATCATGTCAGAACAGCTCTGAAAATGGTAACCACAGATTCCCATAAAGCCTAAAAATCATCACAGATATTCAAAATGAAATTCTTTCACAAGGATTAAACATTTGAAAAATAAGAATCCTTTAGATCATAGAACTTCAGCTCCAAGAAACTTTTACAGTAGATCCTCGTCAAACCTAACAAATACACGTATCCCTAATAAAACCTTTTGAGGAGGATTTACCATTGGTAAAAGAGAAATCCTACAGACCATGGCGGAATAGTTCCGAAAGCCTGAAAACTGCAGACATTCAAAATGAAGCTTTTTCATGAGAATTCAACTGACATAAATATTTGCAAGCAATAACAATTTAGTAGTACATAATATACCTTTTTTGTAAAAGTATCATCATTACACCTGCATTTCCAGTAGTTGTATTCTGGAAATTTAGGTCACCGAATCGAATCGGCTAGTTTACCGCTAAGTATATTCTGTTATAACTTTCTATAAGAACTCCACAGGTATGAATAAACGTTATATTCTCCTAGTGACCTAATGTCAATGCTTGCCTGTTTATTTGAAGATCAAAACTTACTAAAATAAAATAAATCAAGTTCAACTAATAATAAGAAATACATTTTTGAACTGTTTTCCTATTTACTTGTTATTCAAAAGTTGATAAAAAAACTAGTAAAGCTGCCAAAAATCCTATTAGATTAATTTATTATTATATTCCCAGTTATTTTCCTTATGCAAAATTCCAAAAAACCAATTATAAACCTACTAGGCATACTAGAAACTATAATATTACAACTCCAAAGTATGAACCATCCTTGTTAGTTCAGTGTATCATGTAGAAAAAGTAGAATTTTTTGGTCTAGCCAAACAAAACTACCCCAACAAACAATGGAGCTACAAGTCATTTTTTGGTTTCATTTCTTCCAATACGGTATAAAACCCCAAAAAAAGATATTAGGGTTATCACTAAAAACCCAGAAATCCATATGAAATGGTCGACTTGTCCTCTGTTCGAGTTCATTATCCCCTGAATTAACCTGAGCCGTTTTTGGCATGTAAAAGAAGAAGTAAATAATCAAGCACTTTCGCCAATAGACTTGATTGGTGGAAAACTATGTCCACGGTGTTTAAAACAGTCACCGAACCATTCATTCTCGTTCATTCCTACCAAAGAAATGAGCGATTTCCCCAGCAGACCAACCAGTATAATAATACAACACACATGTGATTAGGTCAAACTTTTTACTGTTACAATAAGACACATTGGTGCAGTATCAAGGCTGTTCCAACAGTACGCGGACACAGTGAAAATTGGTGTTATCTATTGACTTATTATTAATTTTGTCGTATAGTTTAACGCTCGTTTTCATTATCGTGTCTGTATTTAATTTCAGACAAGTGAACTCTGATAACGATGTGTTATTATTTGTTGAATAATTTGATAAAAACACAAAAAATGGACTAAACTGGTAGTATTTTCATCATTTCTATTTTCAAAAGTAGTCAGTGGTTTCCTCTGGTAAGTAAACAGTACGCATTTATGAAATAATAAATAATTAGAAAGGCTAAACTGTTAAATAAATTGACGCATTCATACATTCTAGAAGTTAAATATTAATTAAGTATGCAGATTACTGTTTCTTTTTCTTTTTATTTATGTATTAATTACATATAATTAAATTATAGTGCTAGTTCAATCTCGCAATTACTTTTCTTTAATGTAGTTTCGTTTAAAAACGTAACAAATACCTAACTAACATAACATTGAAGATTCTATTTTATTTTTCCTGTATCTAAATTAAAAAGGCCCTTTTTTCTCAAAATGCCGAGCAAAACACTAAGAGTGGACTGCAGCCCAGTAAATTTACAAATTCCGATTGTAGAAAATTTCAAAAAAATATTTTAAAATTAATTTTACATTCCTAATTAATTACAATACTGTAACACTGGCATCGAAAGCAATTTTTCAAAAACGAGTTATTAAGGATAATATTTTATAAAACTAGTTAAACCCAAATACAGAATACAAAACCGGGTGATTTTTTCGCAATTGTTTAGTTCCAACTGGATACGTCAAAATTTGTGATTCATAATTAATTTATAGATTAACTATCTATTCTAACCATCCCTTAATTTTAATCATTATCTACCTATCTGGTTTGGTTAAGTCTGAGTTGATTTGGTTTGGTTTTGAGTTGTGCTGGGTGGGGTTAGGTCGGGTTGGGTTGGTCTAAGTTTGGTTTAGGTTGGGTCGGATAGGGTTCCGTGGGGTCGTGTTGGATCGGGTCAAATACAGAATACGAAACCGAGTGATTTTTTTGCAATTGTTTAGTTCCAACTGGAATACGTCAAAATTTGTGATTCATAATTAATAGTCCCAATTAAACGATAGCATTCTAACCATCCCTTAATTTTAATCATTATCTACCTATCTGGTTTGGTTAAGTCTGAGTTGATTTGGTTTGGTTTTGAGTTGTGCTGGGTGGGGTTAGGTCGGGTTGGGTTGGTCTAAGTTTGGTTTAGGTTGGGTCGGATAGGGTTCCGTGGGGTCGTGTTGGATCGGGTCNATCGTTAAATTAATGTTATTTTAATAAATATGTCACTGATATCATATCCGTTAATTTATTAAGTTAAAATTAACATTCTGTCTCCATCTACCAATAACTTTATAGTTATATTAACACTGAAACGTTTACGCTGTTACCATCTAGCGTTTAAATTCGTTCCTATACCGGAAAAGTCGCATTGTGAACAAGATCAATACCGTGTCTTTATTACGAAAACCGGAAGCATATCATAAGGTGCTTCCGGAATAACAAATGATATCTCGTTATCTGCCTTTTCAATATTACAAAAGTAATATTAAAAAATGAACCTCTGTGTCCATTCATATATAACCAAGATCATAAAAATCAAAGTTGTATGTAGGCCCTAATACAAATTATTGATTTTACTCAACGTTTTGCTAAAAACACGTTTAAAAACATCTTCAGGAGATAGATATTGATTCATCATAATCATAATCATAAAGTCGTCAGTCCTTAGACTGGTTGGACACGCACCTCCTGAGCTAATCTTCTCATTGGTTGCTGAAAAGAAATTGTTTTTAACAAAAGACGTAGGTAGTAATAATGTAGATTATGAGCATTAGCCAAAAGAAAAGGAAAACTTTGGTCCACTAAAGTCAAAATTATCGAATGAAATGGTAGCAACTTTGAAATTAATTAAAATAATAATAACGACAATTACAAGATGCATAATTAATAGTCCCAATTAAACGATAGCATTCTAACCATCCCTTAATTTTAATCATTATCTACCTATCTGGTTTGGTTAAGTCTGAGTTGATTTGGTTTGGTTTTGAGTTGTGCTGGGTGGGGTTAGGTCGGGTTGGGTTGGTCTAAGTTTGGTTTAGGTTGGGTCGGATAGGGTTCCGTGGGGTCGTGTTGGATCGGGTCAAATACAGAATACGAAACCGAGTGATTTTTTTGCAATTGTTTAGTTCCAACTGGAATAGTTCAAAATAAAACATTTTTAAGAAGGATTTAACATTTAGAAGACAAGAATTCCATAAATCATGTCAGAACAGCTCTGAAAATGGTAACCACAGATTCCCATAAAGCCTAAAAATCATCACAGATATTCAAAATGAAATTCTTTCACAAGGATTAAACATTTGAAAAATAAGAATCCTTTAGATCATAGAACTTCAGCTCCAAGAAACTTTTACAGTAGATCCTCGTCAAACCTAACAAATACACGTATCCCTAATAAAACCTTTTGAGGAGGATTTACCATTGGTAAAAGAGAAATCCTACAGACCATGGCGGAATAGTTCCGAAAGCCTGAAAACTGCAGACATTCAAAATGAAGCTTTTTCATAAATATTTGCAAGCAATAACAATTTAGTAGTACATAATATACCTTTTTTGTAAAAGTATCATCATTACACCTGCATTTCCAGTAGTTCTATTCTGGAAATTTAGGTCACCGAATCGAATCGGCTAGTTTACCGCTAAGTATATTCTGTTATAACTTTCTATAAGAACTCCACAGGTATGAATAAACGTTATATTCTCCTAGTGACCTAATGTCAATGCTTGCCTGTTTATTTGAAGATCAAAACTTACTAAAATAAAATAAATCAAGTTCAACTAATAATAAGAAATACATTTTTGAACTGTTTTCCTATTTACTTGTTATTCAAAAGTTGATAAAAAAACTAGTAAAGCTGCCAAAAATCCTATTAGATTAATTTATTATTATATTCCCAGTTATTTTCCTTATGCAAAATTCCAAAAAACCAATTATAAACCTACTAGGCATACTAGAAACTATAATATTACAACTCCAAAGTATGAACCATCCTTGTTAGTTCAGTGTATCATGTAGAAAAAGTAGAATTTTTTGGTCTAGCCAAACAAAACTACCCCAACAAACAATGGAGCTACAAGTCATTTTTTGGTTTCATTTCTTCCAATACGGTATAAAACCCCAAAAAAAGATATTAGGGTTATCACTAAAAACCCAGAAATCCATATGAAATGGTCGACTTGTCCTCTGTTCGAGTTCATTATCCCCTGAATTAACCTGAGCCGTTTTTGGCATGTAAAAGAAGAAGTAAATAATCAAGCACTTTCGCCAATAGACTTGATTGGTGGAAAACTATGTCCACGGTGTTTAAAACAGTCACCGAACCATTCATTCTCGTTCATTCCTACCAAAGAAATGAGCGATTTCCCCAGCAGACCAACCAGTATAATAATACAACACACATGTGATTAGGTCAAACTTTTTACTGTTACAATAAGACACATTGGTGCAGTATCAAGGCTGTTCCAACAGTACGCGGACACAGTGAAAATTGGTGTTATCTATTGACTTATTATTAATTTTGTCGTATAGTTTAACGCTCTTTTTCATTATCGTGTCTGTATTTAATTTCAGACAAGTGAACTCTGATAACGATGTGTTATTATTTGTTGAATNACAAAAACATTAATTGTAATACAATATAAAAATAAAATAATAAATAACATAAATAGTTAAAAACAATTAAGACAGCATTATTGTAAGAATAAAATAATAAAAACATAACACGGCAAGATTAAGAAAGAAGGAGTTAATAGCTTTTGTTCTTTCAATATTTATGATGTTCGTATTTTTTCTACAAAACAATAATAATAGAAAAATTTAAATATTCTTTTAAGTAGTTTGCATGTTTGTGTGTTTCTTATTTTTTTTTAATTTGGACGCATTTGAACATATGCATAATTCTGATATAATTTATAAAACTATTTTATTACTTTCATGCAAATTGGTAGCATTTAATACTTCAGAACAAAAATTTTAAATATTTATTTCCTTGTACCTTGAACTATATAATTGAACTAATACGTTACGTAGTTGATAATAAAATCGTTTCGCATTATCAGTACCTACAATATATAACGAATTTGTTGGTTGGTACTTTTAATAAAGCGCATAAATTTTTCAGTATGCATTCTCAGTCAATGACTGACGAAATTACCATGATGGATCACGGAGGCGTCAAAAATGTTGGTGCTGGACAAACGTTAGAAATCCTACATAGACAACGTGAAGTTTCTGAAGATGCACCTCGTGATAAGAGAAGAAACGTCAAGCACTTTTGTCGCCGCCATGATCCATTATAGTGATTTCATCAACAAGTCGCGATTAGAATCCGGAAATCCAGTCTGTTAAGGGTGTATGTTTGGAGCGCGGCGCTGAACGGGTGCATAACATGGACAGTTGGTGTCTCACAAAAGAAAAGGTTAGAAGCGTTCGAAATCAGGTGTTACGGACGAATTATACGGATAATTCAAGAGGTATAAGAAAGAATAGGACTCTATAGAAGTCAATAAGATATAGGCGAGATAGGTTGGTACGACACCTTCTCAAGTATGAAGGGCTAGTCAGAGACATATTAGAGGCAGAAACAGGAGTTAGGAGGAGTAGAGATAGACCTACATTAGATTACTGTTCGCAAATAGTTAAGAATGTGGGATATTCTAGTTTTAGGGAAATGCGAAGATTAGTTCAAGATAGGAAAGAGTGGAGATGCGTGTCCAATTAGTCTTAGGACTGACGACCTTATGATGATGCTGATGATGTATGCTATCAGTTCGTGAAATAATTTTTTTCTTCTAATTTTCCGAAAATAAAAAAAAAATCTTTCCATACAACAGTCAACTTTCGCGGAAATGTGATAATCTTTGAGCAAAAAGTAGAATAATTTTATCAATAAACAATAACAAAAAGGCAAGTATTTTATTTAAAAAAACATTTACAAGATAAATATGTGAGATAAGAAATCATTTCCTATTTTATAACAATCGGTCAGTGTTTTGAATAAAAAAAGTCTCACATCGGGAACTACACGTGTCGTTAATCGGCAATAATTTATTCATTAGAGGCAATTAATTCTTACACAACAAATTTAGTTTCGAATATGCAAATCGGTTGAAATTTATGAAAATAGAGACTAAGAGTCTGCTAAATTGTCCAAAATTAATTTTTTTCACAACTACTCGTCAACAGCTCTAGCTAGTAATTTATTAATTTGTCTCAAACTTGAATATATGCGAAGGTGATATTCAAAAAGCGATTTGCAATAATAATTACGTACTAATTAACAATCTTCATGCTTCAGGCATGAAAGGAGGATCATGTGGGTACAAAACAGTCATAAATGTTTTCATTTCACATTTCAATTGACAAATATTTCGTTGAACTTGACTTGAAAATACCCCTGGAGCATGTGCAGAAAGGGGTTCCAGACGTTTCGAAAAGGAAATTTTAACCACAAAAATGAAAAACGACCTGAACAAACAAAAAAAGTTGAAGACGAAGAGTTGGGGTAGTTTTTGAACGAAAACCATTGCCAGCTCTTTCGTACATTGCCAAAAATACTACAGATAGAAGCAATAATTTGATTCAAAGGGAATAAAACTACAAATTATCATTACTGATAAAGAATATTATCAGTTTCCAAACAAAACCATCTCTTATCCTCTTTATTTAAACTACTAGGGTCAATTGAAAAGTCCCTGACACATAGATGGCGGCACCAGAACTAAATCCATATGATTTTCAGTTAGTCCTAACCTACAAAAGACGCGTCTATAAATTTGACGGCTGTCGGATCATTAGTTTGTGAATTATAGCATTTTTAGTGAAGCAACTTTTGTTATTGTGAAAAAAATGGATAAAAAGGAATTTCGCGTGTTGATAAAATATTGCTTTTTGAAGGGAAAAAATACAGTTGAAGCAAAAACTTGGCTTGATAACGAATTTCCGGACACTGCCCCAGGAAAATCAACCATCAAGGATTGGTATGCTAAGTTTAGACGTGGTGAAATGAGCACCGAAGACGGTGAACGCAGTGGACGCCCAAAAGAGGCTGTTACGGACGAAAACATTAAAAAAATCCACAAAATGATTTTGAATGACCGTAAATTGAAATTGAATGAAATAGCAGACACTCTACAGATATCAACGGAACGTATACATCACATCATTCACGAATATTTGGGTATGAGAAAGCTCTGTGCAAAGTGGGTGCCGCGCGAGCTCACTTTTGACCAAAAACAACGACGAGTTGATGATTCAGAGCAGTGTTTGAAGATGATCACGCGTAATAAACCCGAGTTTTTGCGTCGATATGTGACAATGGATGAAACATGGCTCCATCATTTCACTCCGAAGTCCAATCGACAGTCATCGGAGTGGACTGCACACGATGAACCCGCTCCAAAGCGTGCAAAAACGCAACAGTCGGCTGGCAAGGTTATGGCGTCTGTATTTTGGGATGCGCGTGGAATAATTTTCATTGACTACCTTGAAAAAGGAAGGACCATCAACAGCGACTATTACATAGCGTTATTGGACCGTTTGAAGGACGAAATCGCCGAGAAACGACCGCATTTGCAGAAAAAGAAAGTCCTGCTTCACCAAGACAATGCACCGTCTCACAAGTCAGTGAAAACGATGGCAAAAATTCATGAATTGGGCTTCGAATTGCTTCCGCATCCACCGTATTCTCCAGATCTGGCCCCCAGCGACTACTTCCTGTTCTCAGATCTCAAAAGAATGCTCGTTGGGAAAAAATTTTCGTCGAATGAAGAGGTGATCGCCGAAACTGAGGCCTATTTTGAAGCAAAGGACAAATCGTACTACAAAAATGGTATCGAAAAGTTGGAGGATCGCTATAATCAGTGTATCACCCTTGAAGGGAATTATGTTGAATAAAAAAAAACGAATTTTGCAAAAAAAATGTGTTTTACTATTTTAGGCCGGGGACTTTTCAATTGACCTGTTATATTTTCAATTGTAGCTGCTATTTGACAGTTGTGCGGTCCGCGCTCAACTTCCATCACATGTTGCACGCGAAACTTCCGTTGCATGCTGCGCGCGCAATTACGTCCCATACTAAAATTTCACTCTCAAGATAACTAGTTTCTTGTAGCAATTTTTTTTACCTAGTACAATAAACTTATTATTTACTTATTAATGTTTTTCTTTTCAGGAAATGGGAGTTTTAAGGGGGACTCTTATATTAATCGTGGCTGGTTTCACACGATTAGTAGGGTATGTAGCACAATTAGTGTCATTTATTACACATCATCCTAAAAGGGTGGAACGCTTACCTCCAATAAACGACGATATACTACTCTGCACTGCGAAAGAATTAGCAGAAAAAATTAGAAAAAGAAAGGTAGGCTTTTAAATAAAAATTATTTCATCGTTAAATTAATGTTATTTTAATAAATATGTCACTGATATCATATCCGTTAATTTATTAAGTTAAAATTAACATTCTGTCTCCATCTACCAATAACTTTATTATTATTAGTTATATTAACACTGAAACGTTTACGCTGTTACCATCTAGCGTTTAAATTCGTTCCTATACCGGAAAAGTCGCATTGTGAACAAGATCAATACCGTGTCTTTATTACGAAAACCGGAAGCATATCATAAGGTGCTTCCGGAATAACAAATGATATCTCGTTATCTGCCTTTTCAATATTACAAAAGTAATATTAAAAAATGAACCTCTGTGTCCATTCATATATAACCAAGATCATAAAAATCAAAGTTGTATGTAGGCCCTAATACAAATTATTGATTTTACTCAACGTTTTGCTAAAAACACGTTTAAAAACATCTTCAGGAGATAGATATTGATTCATCATAATCATAATCATAAAGTCGTCAGTCCTTAGACTGGTTGGACACGCACCTCCTGAGCTAATCTTCTCATTGGTTGCTGAAAAGAAATTGTTTTTAACAAAAGACGTAGGTAGTAATAATGTAGATTATGAGCATTAGCCAAAAGAAAAGGAAAACTTTGGTCCACTAAAGTCAAAATTATCGAATGAAATGGTAGCAACTTTGAAATTAATTAAAATAATAATAACGACAATTACAATATGACAATTTAATAATATTTTGCATTAACTACATTTACGTACGAAACGAGGAAAATTCTTGATGGTCACAAATGGTGTAAAGTTGTGGTCAATTTTACAACCATTAGCTTAACTTCTGGTTTAGAACTAGTTTAGAAATGAAGGGCTAGTTGAAGACGTAGTAGAGGCAGAAACAAGAATTAAGAAATAATAGTTAGTGAATTTTCGATAAATGCGAAGATTGGCTCAAAATAATAAGAAGAAGTGAAAGTGAGTGTCCAATCAGTTCTCGGACTGAAGATCATACAATAATAATGTATCAATAGCTCACTTTTTTGTCTACAATCCTCCCTCTTGCGTCTTTTACATTTATTTATTCTTAATGTTAACAAACCCACCAATTATTTATTTAATTCCTGAATTATATTGTTCAAGGTGTCTTCCGAAGCAGTGATACGAGCTTATATAAGACGTGTCAAAGCTGTAGATCCAATAATTAATGCAGTTGTAGAAGATCGCTTTGAAGAAGCGCTAGAGGAAGCGAAGGCAGTTGACAAACTTATCGCTAGCGAAACTTTTACGGAAAAGGAACTCCAAGTTCGATATCCTCTACTCGGTCTGCCGCTAACGGTTAAAGAAAGCCTTGCAGTAAAAGGATGCAGCAATGCAGCAGGTCAGACAATCCCCGAAAGGCCCAAAGCGACGTCGGATGCTGTAGTTGTGGAGAAATGTCGAAACGCTGGAGCAATACCAATTTTGGTGTCCAACACACCCGAGCTTTGCCTGAATTGGGAAACGTTTAATAAGGTCACCGGTCGATCGAAAAATCCGTACGATACCAGAAGAACATGCGGGGGATCTTCCGGTGGTGAGGTAATTTTACCGATACCATACATATATAGCATCTGTTTTGAGATATTATCATCAACATGATAACTAAAATCGGTTAAACGGAGCTAGCTGATACCATATTCTGAAATTGGCTTTCCATGGAAATGTTTTAGTTAAGAATCGCTAATTTTAACGTATTAGGGGTGAAATCAAGAAATTTAAGATAAATGGGTGCGCTTAAAAGACTACATTTGGTATTCATTAAGTTTGCAGTTTGGATTCTTCTTTGCAGAACCTTGCAATATTAATTTGAAATCATTTTTTCGATTTATTATTTACCCACTACAAACTACCTCAAATTAATGAGAGAAAAATTGTTGCTGTTGTCACACCCCCGCCGGGAATCGAACCCGGGACCTTTGGCTTTACGCACCAATGGTCTAACGTGCTCTATAGAATATCGTCTGGTTTAGGCGATCGCCATGATTAAAATTTAGACAAACTTAATATCATATATATTGATATAATGTGAGCTAATACAAATAATTTTAGGCAGCCCTAATTGCTTCGGGTGCTTCCCTGATTGGATTAGGTTCTGATATTTGTGGATCTCTTCGACTGCCTCCACTCTTCTGTGGAATTTGGGGGCATAAACCGTCTCCACACGCGATCTCGATCGATGGACATTATCCGTCTTGCGATGACATAGGTGTTTGGAAACGGTTTTTTGCAGTTGGCCCTTTGACTAGATATGCTTCAGACTTGCCGTTGATGTTTAGAGTTCTGATGAACGAAGAGATGAACGATCATCTTAGATTTGAAGAGCAAGTAAGTCAAAGTGACGTACTCTTTGTATCAAATTGTATTTATTGGTGATTGCTGATGATTTCTATATCATATTTTTCAGATCAACGTATCGGATTTGAAGGTTTATTTCATGTTGGACGATCACGGTTCAATTCTGACGAACAGGGTGTGTCGACATACGGTCGGTGCAGTACAGAAGGTAGTGCAATTCTTGGGCGAGAAACACCTATGTAGAACTGAGAAGGTAAATACTTGAACAATTACTCGTTAGTATAGTATAATAAAAAACTGAATTTGTCAGTAAAACAGAAACACTCAAAAGTGGTTCAAAGATCCAATTGTAGAAACTGTAAAAATCTCCATCATATGTTTCTGTGGTGCATCGTTTTTGACGTGACAACGTCTTATAATTCGATACACGCACGAAAAAACATGACTCATGCGGCGTTACCTCGCTCTGAGGCGTTCCATTTAAGGCTTGAAGTGCAAGCGAGAGCGCGGAACGAGCGACAAAGAGGCACAATCGACCTCCGCGTTCGGCAGCGTTCGACATCTGTCTCTCTCCTACTTGAATGAGTGATGCGTCCGCGTGGACAGCTGCTATACAATAATACATTTCCATTTACCTCCTTCTCTATATCCATACAAAATATCTATCAAACAAATAAAATTAAAATTTTCTTTTGAAAAATGAAACCATTCCATCAGTATTTTCTTATGACGTTGTCACGTTCAACTATCGTCAGTAAACCGACTTTACAGACAACCGATTTTTGTAAATTTTCTTGAATAGGACGAAACGTATATTGAAATTCATCTAATCCGTTTGACTGTAACTCTGTTGGCCAATCTGAGCACCATTAAATAATAACAGTAAGGAAAGAGAAGATCTCCGTGTGTTTCATCTCTGGTCCCATCCCCACTCAAACAAATGCCTATCAGCAGATTCGCTTCTTTTTGAAAATCCAACGAATTTCTGTTTTTCAGGCCCATGTACCAAAGATGCGATATTCGTCAGAATTGGGATACATAACGCTGTTAGAAATAGAAAGCGTCGATCATTTTTTTAAAGAAAACGAAAAAGGTGCCATATTGGAATTCTTCCTTTACTTCCTGTGCATGTCGCCGTATTCGTTCTATTCGATTTGCTATTCGGTTTTAAGATGCGTCATCAAAATGATTTACACCAAAGGTTACAAGAGAGACCTCGAACATCTGCGTCACCAATTGATGACAACCTTAGGGGACAATGGCGTCCTAATCTACCCCTGTTATACAGGAACGGCCCATTACCATGGGGGAACTTTAGCCCGACTATTCGATGCCAGCTACATGACCATCTTTAATGCGCTGGGATTCCCAGCAACTAGCTGTACTGTCGGACATATTGAAGAGGGAATTCCAATTGGCGTGCAGGTCAGTACCTAATTTTTAACCTTTAACATTTTTTCCTAGAGAAGTAAGAATATACTCAAGGGTGTACTAACAATAAGGGATCTTTTGATATTCGATCCCTAACGGGGTAAAAACAAACATCCCTAAAGGAGTAAGAATATTAAGGTAGTAAAAGGAGACGTTAAGTGATCGACTTACAGATTACAGTCCAAGTCGGTGGACCTAGAAATTTCAAATTTAGGGAAATACTCCATGAGTTCTCTAAGGGTGCACTATTTTGATGTACTTTGATATTACATCCCTAAATGAGTAAAAAGATCTGTTAAAGTGACCGACTTGTAGACAACGTCCAGTCCAAATCGATATACCTTGAAATTTGGGGTAAATATTCCTTGACCTGCTTTAGGGGTTCATTATAGAGGAATTTTCTAAAATTCGGTCTCTAAAGGGATGAAAGTTTGGATGGGTAACATTAGTAATCGTCTAAAATTAGGAGACTACAGCGGGAGCAAGTCTAGTTGTAGTCAATTCCCAATATTTTTATTCTAAAAAATATTTTCTTCTTATTTGTTTTTCAGGTGGTTGCCGCTCCCAATAATGACAAACTAACAATTGCTGTTGCACAGGCGATTGAGGCTCATTTTGGAGGTTGGAAACCCCCGCCAGCTGACGTGAAGAACCCCGTCTGACTTCCCCTTTGTTTACATTTAATTTGTTCACATATTTGTTATTTATTGCCACTGATATTAGAATTAATTTTCAGTATTATGCTTAATAAACTGTTTTTTGTATTAAGTTGGTCATTTATTTTTAAACCTCAATTGAAGAAACAAATTATTCAATACAAACAGATCATGTTTTATAAGGTAAGTACGAGGGATGTTTTCAAAGTTCTGGGAATTTAGATATAATTTTTATTATATTGATAATTTTCGTCAATATTACAGTGTAGTTTTACAATATAATCTCCATTTAACTGAATACATTTATCCCAACGATCAACCAATTTTTTTAAGCCGTCCTCAAAAAACATTTTCGGTGTCTCCTGAATTCACCCATTTATGACACGTTTTACGCCAATGAAACTCTCAAATCATACACCCCGTAAGGGTTTTTTCAAATGTGGGAACAGATGATAATCACTGGGTGCAAGATCCGGGGAATAAGATGGGTGCGGAAGCAATTCCTGTCGTAAATCGTTGAAAACATCCTTCGTTGTTCTTGCAACTTTTCAGGCCGTTTTTTGACAAGTGCCTATCGCAGTGATCCGGATATTAAATTCCAAAAATATTCTGCGTTAATTGTAGTACCTTTCGCCAGATAATCCATACAAATAATCCCTCCGCAATCCCAGAATACACTAAGCATTACCTTTCCAACAGGTGGAACTGCACGCGCCTTCAATGGAGACCCTTCTTCAGGTTTTACGTCCTTCTTTGGATTGACTTTTGTTCTCAGGATTGAAATAAGGAATCCATGTTTCATCAGTGGTTATTATTCGTTGCCAAAATTCCAAAACCAATCACCGTAACGGGCTAACAGCTGTTGAAGTTGACGACAAGTATCAGACCTATTGAGTGTCTGTTCTGGTCCCAACTGCCTTCGCACCCAACGCACCGAAACCTTGCTAACGCCCAAACAATCAAGGAGGATGTCATGAACTTGTAGAGTATCTATCCCTAGGATAGAGGACACACGTGTCCTCTTTCAGTAGGTCTTCGACGGCAGTAATATTTCTTTCATTTACTGACGTGTTTGGGCATCCACTGAGTGGAAACTCTTCTAGTGATGTTCTACCGGTTTTAAAACGATCGATCCACCGATAAACAGTATTTTTGGATTCTACAGACTCCAAATACTCCTTGCAGACGCTGAATAATTTCTGATGTTTCCACACCTTCCTTCCACAAAAAGAAAATGATTGCTCTTTGAGATTTTGCTGCGTCTTCCGTGGTTACAAAAACAGTACTATGAAAACGCGTTCATATCAGTCGAACATCCAAATCAGACTGAACAATATTGCACTAGATAGTTGCATAAACATGTCAAGACTTGCCTGACACCAATAACATTGCCTATAAGTTCTGCGTAATTTAATTATAGCACTATTCCCAGAACTTTGGGAACGTCCCTCGTACTTGCAAAAAAATTGTTAACAAGCAATAACAAATAAAAGCTATTCTTAAGTCTTTTTGAAATAATATTTTCGCAATAAACAATCATATGTAAAAATAATTCAAAATCTACAGCTAGTTAAATCACTTATCATTAACATTACATCAAGCCTTCGAAGAATTTAAAATATGTACATAAAAGAACGCGTGACGACAACTGCTGGTAAAGATATGAAACCATTGGTGAGCTTTAAAGCTTTACATGAAGTAGATATATCCCGACATGTATCGGTAAATGTGTATACTGATTGATTGTTTATTAAGTAGGTGTCTATTTATGCTAGCAAATAATTCTCCTAGAATTTATACAGATATTCATCAGTGATAAACGAAATTAACCGATAAAGACATCAGTAATTATCGTAAGTATGATAGACAGCTAAAATATTCATAATTTTTTTATTTTAAATTATGTATCATATACAAAATNATATTATCAAGTAAAAACGAGATTTTCAGCAAATTTTCATTTTTTCCTCGATAACCATTTACTGAATTTGAATAACCTCACGCTAAAGTGATTCTCCAGAGGTCAAGTTACTTATTATAAAAGTTTGAAATTTCTGGTAGCTTTTCTTCTGATCCCTGGAGTACTCAAGGAATATTTCCCTAATACTTCCAAACTTTTAGGTCTACTGATTTTGGATGTACGTTGTTTGTAAGTTAATGACTTTTAAACCTCTTCTTATTCCTATTGGGATGGAATATCAAAGTGAAATAGTAAACCCCTATTGAATACCCAAAGAATATTCCCCAAATTTTAAATTTTGTGTGCACCGATTTAGGCTGTACATTTTTTGTAAGTCAATCAGTTTAACACCGTACTCCTTTAGGGATGGAATATCAAAGTAAGAGAGTACACCCCTACAGTACTCAAGCAATATTTCCCCAAATTTCTACTCCACCGATTTGAACTATACGTCATCTGTAAATCGATTACTCCAACACCTTTATTACCTCCTTTAGGGATGGAATATCAAAATAAAATAGTACACACCTAGAGGACTCAAGGAATATTCCCCTACTTTCAAATTTTTAGGTCTACCAAATGGGGCTGTACTTTGTTTGTAAGTCAGTCACTTTAACACCTCTTCTTACTCCTTTAGGGGTAGAATATTAAGTTAGAGAGTTTACCCCTAGGCTACTGGAGCAATATTTCCTCAAATTTCAAGTCAAAATCAAAGTCCACCGATTTGAACTGTACTTTTCTGTAATTCGATTACTCCAGCACCTTTATTTACTCCTTTAGGGATGGAATATCAAAATAAAATAGTAGACACCTGAAGGACTCAAGGAATATTTCCCTACTTTCAAATTTTTAAGTCTACCAAATGGGGCTGTACTTTGTTTGTAAATCAGTCACTTTAACACCTCTTTTTACTCCTTTAGGGGTAGAATATCAAGTTAGAGAGTTCACCCCTAGGCTACTGGAGCAATATTTTCTCAAATTTCAAGTCAAAATCAAAGTCCACCGATTTGAACTGTACTTTTGTGTAATTCGATTACTCCAACACCTCTATTTATTTACTCTTTAGGGATGGAATATCAAAATAAAATAGTACACACCTAGAGGACTCAAGGAATATTTCCCTAATTTCAAATTTTTAGGTCTACCAAATGGGGCTGTACTTTGTTTGTAAGTCAGTCACTTTAACACCTCTTCTTACTCCTTTAGGGGTAGAATATTGAGTTAGAGAGTTCACCCCTAGGCTACTGGAGCAATATTTCCTCAAATTTCAAGTCAAAATCAAAGTCCACCGATTTGAACTGTACTTTTCTGTAATTCGATTACTCCAACACCTTTATTTACTCCTTTAGGGATGGAATGTCAAAATAAAATAGTACACACCTAGAGGACTCAAGGAATATTCCCCTACTTTCAAATTTTAGGTCTACCGAATTGGGTTGTACGTTGCTTGTAAGTCAATCACTTTAACACCTCTTCTTACTCCTTTAGGAGTAGAATATCAAAGTTAGAGAGTTCACCCCTAGGCTACTGGAGCAATATTTCCTCAAATTTTAAGTCAACATCAAAGTCCACCGATTTCAACTGTACTTTCTGTATTTCCTCCTTTGGGGATGGAATAACAAAATAAAGTAGTACTCAAGGAATATTTCCCAAAATTTCAAATTTCTATATTCACCGATTTGGGCTATAGGTTGTCTGTAAGAAGATCACTTTAACACCTTTTTTTACTCCTTTAGGGATGGAATATAAAGGCAAAATGGTGTTTCTTCATGTTCTAAGTTCGCCTATTTAAGTTGTATTATTATATTTGTCACTTTAACACGTCTTTTTCCCCAAAAAACATCTATTCGTATATGTATACGCTAATAAAGCAAATTATTCTAAAACTTATTGTTAATTTTAATATGCATATATAATAAAATTTGAAGTCATCGTTGTGTCCCAATTGAATCCTTTTAAACAAAAGCATTGGATTGCACCACTATCATCCGATAATTGTGTAGAATGTATTACAATGTGTTTTTCTGATAACCTCCTACGAAACCGATTAAAGAAAGAGTTATTTATTTGTAAACATTATTTTATCTATACTATAGCAACTATTCTAAACTGAGATATCAACAGTTTCTAACAGCTTTTCATCTGAAGTGCATCCTAGCAAAAAAAAACATTTTTAATCTCAATTCCGAACTCAATATGCATAAAGCAGTAGTGAAAAAACCAAAGATGCATCCTAAAAGCAGTATATTTTTTAATAATGCGTAAGTACCATTTTCATTAATTAATTATCTGAATTATCAGTAGATTTATAGTAATCAATTGGTCGAATCTATGCAAAATATTTCTT